GCCTGTTGTCTGCGTGCATCCTTCTCCGTACATCCACCAGGCCGTGGGAGTGGACCAGCTGCCTCAGAGCATGCTGGGATGCTGGATGCGGCTATGCATGATTGCGATCTAAAGATGCATTTTCTGTACAATTAAAATCCCCACCCAAGAATAAAAAATCCTCTGTGGCACAACCGTTTAAAACATCATTAACTTTGAGTAAAAACAGCTTCCTCTCTGTACCGTTTGTTGGAGCATACACATTTATAAAAACAACTGTAAAAAGGTCAAACCGTGCTTTTATTAAAAGCAACCTCCCATTGATAAAGTGCTCGACCTCCAGAGAGACAGGACTAAAAGACTTGGAGAGGAGGAAGCCCACCCCCCCACTGAGAGAGGTGTTGTGGCTTAATTAACCTCTTAAGCCCTGAGCCTGTTTTTCAGGTTTCAGGCTCGAAAATGCCACTAACACAACAAAGACTATATCTTCACTTCTAAAAGGGGTACAAATAATCATCTTTTCTCTCAAAGCAAGGTTACATCTGTGAGTTGGATGTAGAAGTGTCCGAATCAATATAGATGTTTTTATTTTAAAGTAAATTCAGATGGAACATAGTAAAAACATGTACATTCTAATGTCCGCCTAAAAAAAAAACATTACTTAATAGTGAAAACCACCCTTGAATGATGGGCTAGTAGACTAAAAGCTTTAGGAATCCAGACTATTACATATAATAAGTACCCTGTATCAAGATTGATGCAAAACAAGTGACATTTGACCTTTTTAGAGAGGTTTAGAAAAATAAAGTCCAAGCGGACTCACCTCTGGGTAATTTGGGAACCATCAGTTCCATTTGAACTTTTTCACTGTAAAAATCATTTTTATTACTTTGAATTATCACTATAGGTATTCATTCCATCCAAATACAACTGTTGTGGGAAAAAAAAAAAAAAAAAACTCTGTTATCCTCTTAGGCCCCACGGACCCGAAATCGCGTCATTTGCAGGAAACAACGTCTAAGGAACCTTGATATTTAATAAACTATGAATATTTTATATCCATATAACGAGAAAAAAACTAATTTAACTGATCTTTTTCATTTTTTTTCCAAAAAAAACACACAATGCTAACAGCTGCACATCCAACACATCGTTTATGATCGTAAAGACAAATAATCTAACGGTGCCCACCTCAACACTGAAAGATACAAACTCGCGAGTTTATCAACAAAAACGTACATCAAAACAAGTGCTAAGTACTAAGTACTAACATGCGCAAGGCTAACAATGACTTACCTTCCTCGTTGTCTGGTCTAAACTGGTCTTCAATGGCATTAAAACGATAAAAACGATGATGTAGTTAATACATAGATTAATATCCAATGGGGCTGTGTCCTCTTTGAAATGTTCTGATAATCTATAAGCAATAAAACTGCAATTCCGTTATCTGCTATCCGCTCTGTGCTCCGTGCGCTCTGGGTCCTGCTGCAATACCTGCTTCTTTACGCTGTAAACAATAAATGAAGTCGGCTGCGTAATGTTGTTACGCTGGCTGGCATTCTTTATACTTTACGCAGGACCATATCTCTGGAACCCATTGGTCGATTCGTGTGATTTACACCTTTTTCTTAACCATTACATCCAATAGAATCGATGGGCAGTTCCCAAATCTACGTAAACATTACCATAGCGGACGTAATAGAGAAGCAAACTAAGCATATCTGAAAGTACAAGCCTGGACGGCAAAACTTTATACCGAGTATATTGCCATAAATATGAGGATGGATTTTCAGTAAAAATATCTACGTGACACAAAGACATTGGATTAACCTTGAGATGCGTTTTTTATTCTGTTGAACACAACTTTTGATCACAAATCAAAAAAGGTAAGACGTAATTATTGTAATATTTTTGAAACCGGATGTTGTTTACTTTCTCTTTTCTGGCTGATAGCTCCAGGAATTCGAGGTCGGACAGTGATGACATTACATGTGTGGAATCTGTGGAGTCTCAGCTTTAAATCGTATATCTTGTTTCTGCAGTTAAGATAGTAATAAGGGCATTTCTACCGTGAGTTCTGTGTAAAAAAGCGTTGTTAAGAAGCCCTGAGACATAGTCTCGAAAAAAAACTGTGGGAGGGGTCCACTGGGGGGACCTTCGGGCTTAAGAGGTTAAAATGACTTCCCCCTCCCACTCCTTTCTCCAGTCCGTCTCATTAAAAACGTCGCTGTGCGTCTCTTGTAAAAAGAGGACATCGATATGTTTTATTTTTGCAGTCTGAAATATTAAAGCCCTCTTTCTTTCCTCTCTGGCTCCATTTACATTTAAACTTCCCACTCTAAAAGTATCCATTTCGAGTGAGATGTTAAAAGCAAAAATAAAAACAAATAAATTAAACACAGACATTGAGGTTTTTAAAATCAACGCTGCCCATTTGCTTCCTTACTTTAGTAACAATTCTTTTTAGTCTGTATATTTCCAGCTCATCCAGGACAGACTGCTCTCTCCGGCTCATGTGGAGTCTGGCTGAGGCACAAAACACGGACAAATCTGGGAAATATTCTTCTATGATTACGTTATGTTGGTTTTTTGTCTGCACCAGGTCATTTTTTATCATTTCAGCCGAGTACATTTTTTTTGTTGGCTAGTGCTCAAAAAACCTGGCACATCGCTGCTGTCAGACACACAATCATCCCAACTCTCATGCGCCTGTTCTTGCTTTCTTCCTTCCTTTCCCTCACTCACTACTTTACTGTTTTTTGCAACGGTTGATAAATCCTTTTTATTTCTCCTGCATTTAGTAGCAGTCTTTTTTTGTATTTATCATTTCTGTTGCGACCTCCTCTTCCTCCATCTCAACAACCTCCATCTGCTCACCCCATGTTTTCTTCTCCTCTCTTGTTTTGTCCAAATGTTTTTCCTAAGCCCCAATAAGTAAACTTAACTCAAAAAAATTAGGGCAACTGATTGCCTCAAGTATTTTAAGTTAATCAACTCAAAACTTACAATTTTCAAGAACTTAAATAATTGGATTAAATGCTACATGTACCTATTGATTACAGTAAAATTAAAATGCCTTATTAAGTCAACTCAAATATGTTCAGGTACTGTGACTTAAACATTTGAATTCACCTCTACTAATGGATTAAGTTACCAGAACTTAAAGACATAAGTACTCAAAGTCTTTTTTTTTGGGTTAACAGAACTCAATATTTATTATTTCAACCAAACCAAACACATTGACTTAGTCAACTCAAAATCACATAACTTAAAACTTAAAAACATTGACACAACTGATTGCCTCAATTGAATCGAGTGCGACTAACTTGAACAGCTTTACTACATTTCTTATTTTCTAGCCCTCCTATTTAACATGCTGTCCTGTTAACATTTACAAGACAGTAAAATAAGTAGTCATAAAAAAAAATAAAAAAAATGCAAAGGCAATTGTACTTTTGGCACATTTTGATTAAAACCTGAATAGAGCAACAACTTTGATAAAATCACAATGACAGTCTGAACCCTTTAACTGTAAAACTCTAAAATGTAAATTAATTACATGAACAAGTATCAAATCTTCATCTGGATGGAAGTGCAACAACAACAACAAACAAACGCATAAACACACATTCACATGATTAATGCCGGTTAATCAGAAATATTTGGTATTATTAAAGTACAAACAGTCATCCCTCAAAATCAAAATCAACTTTGATGTGAACAATGGTAAACAGTACACATTTGACATTAATACAACATGTACAAGTAAAAGGGAACATTGAGCAGCTTGACCACCTGGCTGAAAACCTGCAGCAACTGGTACAGCAACTTTCTTAAGACATTTTTATTTCAGAAGGAAATCACTTTGAAGTAGAGGGAAAATGCCTTAAAATGCCCCACCTGTTTTTCAGATGGATTTCTACACATGCATCAGCAAGTCATTCTTGAGGGTCTGCAACTTGGGCGACAATTTACCATCTTCCAGACCAAGTAAAACCTTCTGAGTGAACTCGAAAGTGTTTGTCAGTCCTTTGGGATAGCTGAGGTGTAGTGTAGTGGCCAGTCTCGTGATCCAACACAATACGTTTTAAATGGGGAAGCTGGCAGACAGAAAACAAAACTGATAGGCGAACAAGAGAAAAGGTCAAGGCTTCACGACCCCATGTGACACGATTATTACAGCCCAGGAGAAATAAGGAGACAATCACTAATTACCAGTTGATTGCAAATATAAGTGTGTAAACATTGTAACATGACTCCGCTTAGTAGTGTAGATGCTAGCCCCAAAGTGTTATGATATAAATGTACGGGTCTCCAGCACATAGAAACTGCTGGATGGTAACTTGCATATGTTGAGCAATCCGGACAATTGGCATAAGTTTAATTAGGACTCTTTGAGCTGGAAAATAGACTATAGTATGTTACCATGCTGACAGTAAGCATCTAAAACGTAAAGGTACAATGAGTAGGATTTTCCCAGATAAAAACAATATATTCCTTGAAGAGGTTTGCAGTAGTGCTTGTATCTTCTTTCCTCTGCATTTTCTTACATGCTGTTTACTCTGCGTCAACAAAGCATTGCAACCAGGTGCCAAAAATGCACAACAAGGAGTAATGCCAAGTCGACAAAGTTTGTTCCAAAACTGGAGCTAATCTGGGGTTGGATCTGGGTAGGACTGTCCAACCTGAATGTTATGTTTACAAACCCAACCGTCAAATTCTACCTATTGTGCATTTAACACGTTTGCAGTGCCAACATTAGTCAAATAGGTCACTGAATGTAACATCCAAAACAATATCAAACCAAATGGAGTACGATATAGCAGCTGTGGCTCAGTGGATAGTGTGTTGGACGTCGAATCAGGGGGTACCAAGTTTGAGTCTCACTGCAGTCAGCATGTCGTTGTGTCCCTGGGCAAGACACTTCACCCCAAATTTCTCCTGTGGGGATTGTCCACAGTACTGAATGTATGTAAGTCGCTTTGGATAAAAGCGTCTAACAAATGACATGTAATGTAATGTGTAGTGCATAAATTAGTCCAAACATTACCAGGAATGCATCTGCAAGTCTGGGGAGGCTGACCACAATATCATTTTCGATGACAACAGAGATGGTCACAGGCTGATATTGCACTTGACTTGTGCCATTGTCACTGGTGACAGTAAGGAAGGCCACTGCAACACCTCCAAGCTCTGATTCGGACTCTTCCTAAATGAATGAAAGAGAGATAATAATCACAAACTGGGTGTTGGTCATGCATTACATTACATTACATGTTACTTGTTATAGGTCAGATTCCTCCGCGTACCGCTAGCGGGAGCTGGCGTACCACCAGTGGTACACATACCACAGGTTGAGAACCACTGGCTTAAGGGATTAGACTGTTTTAATTTCTAAAACAAATGGCCGGAACCAGATACTAAAGCTGCATTACATTACATTACATGACATGTTACTTGTTAGACGCTTTTATCCAAAGCGACTTACATACTCAATACTGTGGGCAATCCCCACAGGAGCAATTTGGGGTGAAGTGTCTCAGGGACACAACGACATGCTGACTGCAGTGGGGTTTGAACCTGTGATCCGAACACCAATGCTCTATCCACTGCGCCACACGCGCCTCGCAGGAACATTTTTAAAAAATCGTGATTTTCTGTGTGGCAATATCTTTTGACTGCAACTCTTGGAGATATGTTTTCTAAGTTGTTCATATTTTAGTTAGAACTATGTTTTAGAGAGTTGTTTTGTCAACAGACTACACATTTAAAGGTGTAAAACAGGTGTTCTACACCAAAGAATCAGACGAGCTACCAGTGAAACCAAGTGCCAGGAGATAAAACATATCCAATAACTGTTTTACTTAACTTCAGTATCGCTTCAAACAAAAAAAACGATTCAGTTCATTTGTATTTGGGTGAAGGAAAACAGACCAAAACCTCTGCAAATCACACAAACTATATGGATGGATAGACAGAAACAGGATAAGTGCAAACAAATATTTGTATTTTAATGAACTATTCACTTAACATAGAGTGGTACTGTTAATGAATTAAGGAGACTCACTGTGCAGGTTCGTAAAAATCCAGAGGTGTCCTCTTGCAGATACACAGGAGGGGAATGGATAACGGTGGTACGCCTGGTGTCGTGTAATTCCTATAACGATAAAAATACAAGCGTACAAACTGTTGACTGTGAAGTTTACTAAACAAACCTGTCAATCCAATCAGAACATATATCCACAGATAACCTGTTCACATCTTTAATGCAATCAGACAAATAGCAAAAACAAAGTGGGCTAATTGTAAAATTCAAAAGATGTTTTTTGAATCTGTTTAACGTTAGATGTTCAACCTTTGAATTGTAAAATAATCTCTTTACCTGTTCATTGTGGATTTTTAAAATTTCAGCCAAAGCCTCAGCTGTCTCCCAGATTTGGACGCCTTCTGTCTAAATATGGCCATCAGTCGAGGAAGATGGCGGTCAAAAGCAGCGTAGAACGTGTTGAGCAGATTCTGGTTTGTAATCCGTTGGAACTCTGCATACACCTATTTAAAAAAACAGAGCAGAAGGACAATACAGCAATGTCAATTAGTCAGCTCCAAATAAATCAAACTAGGTTAAAGTGGTATCCTCCTTACAAATGTAATAGATCCTCCAAGTTTGACCAGTCAGTTCCTTCCCTGTGGCAAGAACGAGAACTTCACCTGGACTGTTCTTTTCCTTGCATTACATTACACCACAGGGAAGGAGCTGGAACTTTGAAGATCTATGACACTCCTATATACAGCAAATAATAATAATAATAATAATAATAATAGATTTAATTTGTTAGCGCTTTTACAGGTGCTCAAAGACGCTTTACAGATATAGTGAAGGGAAAAGAAAAGGAAGGAACAACAAATAAATATATAGTTAAAGTTAAAGTCAAATAATACAAAAACAATCACACATTAAAAGCCAGATTGAAGAGGTGAGTTTTTGTGAGTTTTTTGAAGGTGGTGAGGTCAGTGCAGTCTCTGATGGGTTCGGGGAGTGAGTTCCAGAGGGAGGGGGCAGCGACGGAGAAGGCTCTGTCCCCCCAGGTCCGGTGATTGGTGCGGGTGGGGATGGATAGGAGGTTGGCTTCTGATGAGCGGAGGGGCGTGGTGGTGCAGCAGGTCTGTGAGGTAGGGGGGGGCCTGATTGTTGAGGGCTTTGTGAGTAATGAGGAGGACTTTGAAGTTGATTCTTTGACGGCCAGTGGAGGTTCTGGAGGACGGGAGTGATGTGGTCTCGGGAGCGGGTGTGGGTGAGGAGGCGGGCAGCAGAGTTCTGGATATGTTGGAGTTTATTGAGGAGGTTGGATGGTATGCCGTAGAAGATGCTATTGCAGTAGTCGAGTCGTGAAGTGATGAATGCATGAATCAGGGTTTCAGCAGCAGAGGAGGAGAGTGATGGGCGGAGACGGGCAATGTTTTTGAGGTGGAAAAAGGGTTAGGGTTAGGGTTAGGGTGAATGGTGAAGTTGAAATTCTGGATGTCGTTGATACGGGATGGGGGGCCGATGATGATGTCTGATTTGGCACTGTTCAGTTGGAGATAGTTTGTTTGCATCCATGCTTTTATTTCTGAGAGACAGTTGGTGAGAGTGGAGTGTGTTGTGGGGGTGATGGTTTTTGTTGAGATATAAAGTTGGATGTCATCGGCGTAGCAGTGAAATTGAAGGTTGTGGCGACTAATTATTTTGCCAAGGGGGAGCATATAGAGGATGAAGAGGAGCGGGCCAAGCACCGAACCCTGGGGGACACCTTGGGACAGAGGAGCAGTGGAGGAGGTGCAGTTGTTGATGTTGATAAACTGATGTCTGTCGGTGAGGTAGGATTTCAGCCAGGAGAGTGCAGTGTCGGTGATGTTGAGTGATGATTCGAGGAGGGACAGCGGGATGACGTGGTTGATGGTGTCGAATGCTGCGGTGAGGTCGAGAAGGATGAGGATGTTAAGGTTGCCGGAGTCAGAGGAGAGGAGGAGGTCGTTTGTGATTTTCAGAAGAGCTGTTTCGGTGCTGTGTTTTGATCGGAAACCGGATTGAAATGGCGAGATCATTGGAGCTGAGGTGGGCTTTAAATTGTGAGGCAACGACACGTTCAAGTATTTTTGACAGAAAGGGGAGATTTGAGATGGGCCGGAAGTTGGACATGATGTCAGGTGTGAGTCCAGGTCTTTTGAGAATGGGCCACTATAAGAGTCACAGAATGTGCCATTATCAATAAAGAAGAAAACAGGAAAAAGAGAGCTAATCCATATTACCTCAGACTCCATTTTGAGAGCAGGCCAGAGGTCCATGAGCTCGTTCACTACTGCGCATGTCCTCACTATGGTCTGTCGCCGCAGTGCAAATGTGGTGTGCATCATCTTTTTAATGAGGGGTAGGTCCATCTCAGTCTTCTTGACTTCCTCAACAATTGTCTGCCTCAAGTGCTCAAGACTTGAGAGATCCTCTCCTTGGGGAAGGTTGAACAAATCCTATATTTAAAATGTAATGTAAGCTACTGCCTAATAACTTCTTAAACATCCATTGAGTTAATGTTAGTATGGTAAATTAATTCATGGACAACAAATGGACAAGCGTTCACTACCAAGCCTGTTAATAATCTGACATCGTTATATTCACTTTAACATTACCTTTCTCTGCTCTGCCCCGTGTGTGTGTGTGTGTGTGTGTGTGTGTGTGTGTGTGTGTGTGTGTGTGTGTGTGTGTGTGTGTGTGTGTGTGTGTGTGTGTGTGTGTGTGTGTGTGTGTGTGTGTGTGAGTGTGTGTGTAAGTGTGTGTGGCCTCGCGCTTGTTGAACCCGTATACAGAGGTTGAAACCTGGGTGAAGGAGAGTGTTAAACGTTAGCAGCGGCTCTCGTAATTCAGCAGTGGAAGTGAAGGGAACACAAACACACACAACCCTCCGCGCCTCGTGGTTTACAGTGTGGTTTATCTCCTTCAGACTAAAGCTGAACAAATCCTATATTTAAAATGTAATGTAAGCTACTGCTTAATACATTCTTAAACATCCATTGGGGACATGTTAGTATGGTAAATGATGAATTAATGGACAACAAATGGACAAGCGTTCACTACCGAGTTTGTTTATAAGAACTGACAACGTTATATTCAATGTAACATTACCTGTCTCTGCTCTGCTCCGTCCCGTGTGTGTTGCCTCACGCTCGTTGAAACCGTATAAACAGGTTGAAACCTGGGTGAAGGAGTGTTAAACTTTAGCAGCGGGTCTCTTAATTCAGCGGCAGCGAGGAGAGCACGGAGGGAGCACACACAATCCTCCGCACCTCGTGGTTTACAGTGGATGAAAATGTTAGCTTGCTAACTGTTAGCAAACTAGCTAGCTAGTGACCGTGTTAAATAGTGACTTTCAGTCCAATGCCTTCGGGGTTGCTCGTAGTAAATTAAGTAAATGGTTGGGTATATTATGACACACATTTGAGTATAAATTGATTAAACTAACATTGAAGGCTTTTATTAGGAAACCTACCTGTTATGTTAGTGTTTCAACGGCTGCCGTCACTACGAGCACCCACAACCACAATGCATTTGGCTGAACTTTTTGAATACATAATTAGCTTAGGGGCAATGACATTTTTCATCATATATACAAAAAGTGACAGCCCTATTTTGGCACCAAGTTTCCACAACTACATATTTTACAAGTTAACATTATACAGTAACTGTGCAAATAATTCAGGCATTTCTGTGAATCTGCTGACTATGGCTAATGCTAGCTAACATGCATGTATCTGGCTAACATCAACACTCTCTTTTACATGTTTAATCTCAAAATATTTAAAAAAGTGAAGAAATATGAATATTGCACTTACAGTGAGACCAATGATGCTGATTACCACCGGAAAGTGTGGAAATTAAGTGTGAAGATCCACCTTATTGCAGGTATTAGCTGCATGTGCTGCATCCCACTTTCGACAGTTAGTGACGTCAGACAGACAAGCATTAGAAATGAGTACAGTTCAATGTATATGTTTAAGTGATGCTTACTTAATCCGCCAAATAGTTCAAGTTAATCAAAGATGATCAGTTTACTTAACTAAAAAACGAAGAACAGTCACAGGAACTGAATATATTGAAGTTAGTAGAACTTTTTTTTTAAATTTAAGTTTACACTAATTAATCTATTTAATTATTTTGAACGTTCGGGTTTACAGTGTATCTATATCCTCCTCCTGTGTTTTACTGACTTCACCTGTCCCTACATTTTCTTTTGCCAAATCACCTTGTGGTTCAATGATTATTCCAGGAATTTTTTCACCATTTGCATTTGTTTTTTTATCTTTTTTTCTCCCATCCCCCTTTTCTTCTGCTTCACACAAAACCACCACCTCATTTTCCTGGACATAATCACCCACACCCTGTGCAACGGACAGCCCCGGCACAGCCGGGGGCGGCCCCAGCGCAGCCGCGGGTGGCCCCGGCGCAGCGGTTGACGACTCCGCCGCTGGCGCGTTGGACGGCCCAGCTTGCGGGTCATCCGGACCAGGCGGAGCCGGATCCCCGCGCCTCGGACAGGCATTCATGGTGTGCCCCTCCTCCTCCCCGCAACCAAAACACTTCATAACTGATGATGTTGCAAAAATCACATAGTCATAATCATCTACTTTAATGTAAAAACGGAGATTAAGCTCCGCATTCCGATTTTTCAGTATCATATACACTTGTCTGCGGTGAGACACTACGTGTTTCAGTAACTGAGACTTACATCCAGACAGCATCTTTTTTACGGGAGAAACAAGTTTCCCGTGTCTGGACAGTTCTCTGAGGAACTCATCAGTTATGAAGGGAGGGACATTAGACAGTACAACTTTGGTTGCGGGAAGCATCAGCGGCTGTACTTGTACACACTACAAGTACAGTACACTCTCACCGTGATGCTTGTCTCGATGACGCGGTTCACCTTCACCTGATCCAGAAAGATCACCACCGCGCTCTTCATCCGCGCCAGGGACTTAATGCTGCTGTGCCCGACTTTTTCTCCCACAGCCAGCCCGATCTCCTCCACAGGCATGGGAAGCCGGCTGAGATTTTAATGCCGTGCTTCCTCGTGAGTTTGACAAACTCTCCATTTACCATGGCGTCAGACGCCGGCCGGCGAGACACCGGCAGGAGAAGCCCACAAACCACCCCACAAACACCACTAAAAAGCACAAAAAGTAAAGCAAATCAAACCACCACCGATAAACTATATTAAATGAACACCCATTACACAAAAATAAACGGAAAATATAACGAAAAAGTCTCGCTCTTCTCTTTCTGTCGCACTCCAAAATCTCCCAGCATGAAGAAGAAGAAGAAGAAGAAGAAGAAGAAGAAGAAGAAGATAGAAGAAGAAGAAGAGAGAAGAAGAAGAGAGAAGAAGAAGAAGAAGAAAGAAGGAAGAAGAAGTAAGAAGAAGAAGAAGAAGAAGAAAGAAAGAAGAAGCAGAGAAGAAGAGAAGAAGAGAAGAAGAAGAAAAGAATA